TTATCATGATGTTTCTGGACATGAGTTGCTGAACCGCCTCCCATTGGTAGGTCCAAATTTATTTTTACCCTTGACATTCAGGAATAGCCCCCTTACCCTTGAAATACGATTAATCTTACATGAAACATGGCCTCTCGGGAAAATGCACTCATTTGGCATGAGCCACATTCCATGAGACATTTCATATGTCTATAGGGAATGTCTCACAGCATAAGAACCACTTTAATAACATTAATTAAATGATTCCATGATTAGTTTTCCTGAGTTCCTAATTAAATGAACAGTTTGACATTGTTTGTAGTGTACCAGATTCACTTTGGTTTCAAATCTACATTGAAACATAAAACTCAAATTGACTCATTTTTAATTAGGAGGAATATTCTGTCCTATGAGAATAAGTTCACTGGTATTTCTTTTAATTAAAAGAACAGAATTCCACCAACGTTTTTTCCCTTGCCTTTTTCTCATTCATCAAAATCTGATCTACCCCTAGAACAAAGAGATCTGAGGCATACGTACATGTACATTACACACACACACACACACACACACACACACATGTACCAGCTGATTCATATCTCAGACTGTTTTCTTGCAAGTAGGACAAGATAGTTTCAAAGAGGACATACTTATGGAGGATAGGTCCATGGATAGCTGGTATATAAAACAGGCATGTACCCTTTTATATCCCATCTGTAAACCAAAGATAGTGGATACCAAATAGGGCAAGGATTGTACTAGACATACCCTATACATGTACCCTTCCTCTAAAGCGTCCACTACTTGCCACTGTCAGAGGCAGAATGCTGGACTAGATGGCCATTTGTCTGACCCAGTATGACACTTATGTTCTTAGGTTAAGACCCTTTTAATCTTGTTTTCACATTAGCATATAAGTTTCTATTTCCTATTTAACTGTGCTGCTAATGTTTCAAAATTTGTGGAGACAATACACCTCATTCATAGCTGTGTCTTTTTGCTCTTATGGTATTGCCAGCAACAGGAATTTCACTCTGTTCCTGGAAATTTCTGTTTGTTCCTTTCTTCTTTTATAAAGGGACTGTAAGTGTGCAAGAGATTTCCCTAAAAAAGGAATAATTAACCCAGTGTGGTCAGTTATTCTATTAGTAAAAAGCAAAACTTTACTGCAAAGAGAGAGAATCTGAACTCTCATTCCAAGGATACAGTTGCTTCCAATACCGTCTCTCTTGCGTAGTAGAACCATATGCAATAGCATTCTTCTGGAGTGACTGATCCTACAAACACTCACTGTTAGTCATAGTGCTTATTGCTTTCCATAAATAATTGTGTTGCTATCAATGCCATTACTTCCATTACTGAGCCCTGTACCCCACTAGTCAGTGTTAGAGTGTTTTGGCTTTTGGTCTGATATATACTATTGTTCTATACTTTAGGATGCTGCAACTGCTTGTAAAATGGATTATTTTAAAACAATCTATGCTTGTTTTTCAGAACCTCTGAAGGACATCTGGTAAAAGCTATGACAAGAACAAACTTTTTTTTTGATTTCCACATAGTATTTCAAAGAAAAAACTTCAGTATTCAAACCAAAACCAATATATCGTGAAGTGAAAATTGTGATACTTTTGTTTCTTATATAATAAAATTTGATGTTTACACTGTAAATATTAATTTAGAATCCTCTACCTAAAGCTGTACATATGTATGCTATCTAACTCATGGAAAATATGTGATTTCATATGCTGTAAATCCTTTATGTCAATAAATTCATTTGAAAAAGAGGAGTGCACACTATTGGACAATCTCAAACTACTGGCTAACTGGCTTATATTAACTATACCATCATTTCAGATAAAACTGTGTGATGTGATGGATACATTTCCTGACAACTTCATAAATAAGTACAAAAGCTCATGGATTTAGTATATTCAAGCTGTCTCAGCAAAGATTGCAGGGAGGAGTTCAAGTACAAAAATGTATGCTTTTTTAACACTTCATCAACATAAATAAAAAAGGCATTACACATGATTTGATATTTCATAGAACCTTTTTTTTTTCTTCTACATTCTGAATATTTTCATAATATACAAATTCAGTTAAAGCCAGAAATGTATCTCTATTTTTAATGGTAATATAGATGAGCATTTTTAAATTCAGGGTTGCCAAAGCACACAAAAGGAGAAGGGAAAATGCTACCCCTTTATTTGTCTGATGTGCTAAAGTCATAAACCATAAGAGAATTCTACATTTGATTGTGTATACCTTTGCTGATAAAAGTATTCCTAATATATATATATAAAGTAGATCTGAAGACACTTTGCTATTTTTTCAAAATGAATGTAACTTATGAAATATGAAGACAATAAAACATTTTATTATCACTGCAAATATTAGTGGTTTGATTCAAGACTGAAATTGCCTGAACAATAGAAACCCCTTTTAGCAGAGGAAAATCAGCACATGCTTTCTTTAAAAGACACAATGCTCCCATTTCCTGATTATGTTAATCCCATTTTATATCTATCTATCTATCCATCTATCTATCTATCTATCCTGCAATGATATAAAATGGGATTAACACAATAACATTTGAGATATAACACACATATCTATCGATGTATCTATCTATGTATCTATCTTAGATATCTACACACACATACACACACACCATCTAAGCTTTATCTAGCACAGAGGTTCCCAAACTTTTTCTTATTGTATACTGCCTTCCAGATTTATCACCTGCCTACATACCCCTCCCAGCATACATTTTATATTTTAACCCATTAAATGCCAATTATTATAATGAAAATTATATCTGCCATTGCACAATGTCTCCCTTGTACCCCATAGAGTTACCTTGTGTATCCCCAGGGGTACATGTACCACAGTTTGGGAATCCCTGACCTAGGAGAATGATATGCTCAAGAAGCACTTTTTCAAGGTGTTGTTAAGACATTTGGTACAGTAAAGAGAAGCTTTACTTTATGTCCTGTGTAAATTATATACAGAACTAGGTATAACAACAAGAACATTCAGCCAAAATTAGAAATATTTTATTTTTGTAAAGGGAAAAATAGCATGTCAGGCCTATGTAGCAAGAGTTCCATTTAGAATTTTACCTATTTATATACTTATATTTATGGATTGCGAGTTTGATCCTGCCCCCACAGTAGACAATGACAAAGCCTCGTTGACTTGAGTCGGGTATGGGATTTAGCTTTAAATTTGGGTTCAGTTTTATTTTCACATTTAAAAGTTAGCTTTAATGCATCCTAAAAAATGCCACTGCTTGAAACTAAAATGTCTTAAAAAGTTGCAGAAACTGAAATATCTAAAAGTCGCTAAACTGTGCTAAAACCTAAGTCTTAGGGGTTTTCCTTTTTCCATTAATATACCCAAATTCCATTTTCCTTTATATACCCAAATGACAGCTTTCTAGCTGTGAAAGTAGCATTTTTACACAGTTTGTGTTTCTATTACCCCTACAGTGTGAGTACATATATGTGTGCACAGACCTTAGTATATGCAGTAGTCTATATTCTGGGCAGGCACATGTGGCTAAGTGAATGCATGCATTCTGGACCCAAAAGTGTTTGTAGGTGATGAAAAATGCAGCTGGCCAGAAATCTTACTAACAGGTATTAGATGCTGGATGAAAAGAAGGAGGGCCAGCCCATCTTTTAACCTTAATGGCTAGGCAGCTAGAATGCTCATCCAGGAAATAGAAGACTTGAGTTCTAGAGATGGTTTGAACCCACATCTCCCTGACTTTCCAGCACATTACTCTAACCACCATGTCACACATGAAATTTTACTCCACCTTCTGTCCAGCACTTCTTTTTAAGCTGAGCTAATAGCCAATTAAAAGAGGAGATATATAGGGCCAAGAGTGAGAAAACAAAATTGAGGTTATATGGCTAAGTGAGATAGTTTCTCGCCTGGACTGAGGGGCCTTGGGTTTCCAACCTGGACCCTTGCTCCCCACTGCACTGTTCTTCACCTATTTTATCCCAGAACTATTTAATGCAAGGGGCAGTGACTCAGCTTCACAAAGAGTTCTGCAGAATGGGCTGGCTAATATCTCATATACTGCATGGTGGTTAAAACATTATGCTAGATGGATTTTGAGAAGCATGTTCACTGAGTAAGTGCCCTAAACCACTCAGTTCTTGGAGGTAGAACATGGGATACTGTTTCTTGCTATTCTTTGACTTATACTCAGGTGTGTATGCATGTAGCTATGTAGTGCAGGACAAGTGCTGTGATTGCTTCATCTGTCCACACTATAGGAAGAAATTTATTACCCTTGGCACATCTACACTAGATGTTTACTGCAGAGCTACTTAGCTCCACAGTAAACATCTTGGGGTCTACACAGGAGTCCCTCATAGGGCGCAGGAAACTAATAAACCCCACAGCAGGGTAGTACTTATAAATGCAAGTACTAGCCTGCTATGGAGTTTTTTCATGCATAGCCGTGCATGGGTAGATGCTGACCTGGTTGGCTGGGGCATGAAAGTGCTTCAGTGCAGGGGCTGCCTGCCAGCTAGCTCTAAGCTGAAGCATCCTTGTGCCTTAGTTGGAGCAGTCCCGGCTTGCAGGCTGACCGGGGCTGCTCTAATTGGGTTCCACATGCTGCTCATGAATAAACTCTGGAGCTGATTGCTCTGGAGTTAATTGCTCCCAGGCAACAGCATACATTCAAATGTGTGCCCAGGAGCAGAAAACTCTGGAGCAATAAGCTCTGGAGTTTATTCATGTGTACTAATTGCACATGTAGATGTGCCCTTTGTTTCATAAATGGCGGTTTTCTAGCTTGACACTTATGTATAAGCCTATGACCCTTGTAATCTGGACACATAAGCATGTGTTTAGTTGTACCACTTTCAACGGGTGGGAGAAAGTATAGAAATTCAGCTGACTCTGTTGCAACAATACAATCTGTTTGCTCTAGCCCACAGTAAGTGGAAGCAAAAAATGCAATAAT